AATATCAACAACCTCAGATATGCAAATGCTGCTGCTGCTGCTAAGTCACTTCAGTCATGTCTGACTCTGTGCACCCCCATAAAGGGCAGCCCACCAGGCTCTCCTGTCCCTGGGATTCTCCAGGCAAGAACACTAGAGTGGGTTGCCATTTCCTCCTCCAATGCATGAAAGTAAAAAGCGAAAGTGAAGTCGCTCAGTTGTGTGCAACTCTTAGCAACCCTATGGACTGCAGCCCATCAGGCTCCTCCATCCATGTGATTTTCCAGGCAAGAGTATTGGAGTGGGGTGTCATTGCCTTCTCCAATATGCAGATGCCACCACCCTTATGACAGAAAGTGAAGAGGAACTAAAGAGCCTCCTGATGAAAGTGAAAGAGGAGAGTGAAAAAACTGGCTGAAAACTCAACATTCAAAAAACAAAGATCATGGCATCCTGTCCCACCACTTCATGGGGGAGTCCCATCACTTCCAAATATATGGGGAAACAATGGAATCAGTGACAGACTTTATTTTCTTGGGTTCCAAAATCACTGCAGATGGGAACTGCAGCCATGAAATTAAGACACTTGCTCCTTGGAAGAAAAGCTGTGACCAACCTAGACAGCATATTAAAAAGCAGAGACATTACTTTGCCAACAAAGGTCCGTTTAGTCAGAGCTATGGTTTTTCCAGTAGTCATGTGTGGATGTGAGAGTTGGACCATAAAGAAAGCTGAGCTCCAAAAATTTGATGCTTTTGAACTATGGTGTTGGAGAAGATTCTTGAGAGTCCCTTGGACTGCAGGGAGATCCAACCAGTCCATCCTAAAGGAAATCAGTCCTGAATATTCCTTGGAAGGACTGATGCTGAAGCTGAAACTCCAATACTTTGGCCACCTGATGCGAAGAACTGACTCATTAGAAAAGACCCTGATGCTGGGAAAGACTGAAGGCGAGAGGAGAAGGGGACAACAGAAGATGAGATGGTTGGATGGCATCACCGACTCAATGGACATGAGTTTGAGCTAGGTCCAGGAGTTGGTGATGGACAGGGAAGCCTGTCTTGCTGCAGTCCATGGGGTCACAAAGAGTCAGACACGACTGAGCAACTGAACTAAACTAACTCTCAGTACTATAGTAGGTCTCAAAGCTTAGGGTTGCTGACCCTGGCTCAAGTCATCACTGCCAATGCAGGAGACTCAGGTTCAGTCCCTGGGTTGGGACAATCCCCTGGAGAAGGGAGTGGCAACCCACTCCAGTATTCTTGCCTGGGAAAGCCCAGGAACAGAGGAACCTGGCGAACTTCAGTCCCTGAGTTTGCAAAGAGTTGGACACAACTAAGCAACTGAACACACAGACACGCACATACAGACACACGCGCACCCATGTCTTTAGTGGAAATCTCCTGTTGGTGTTAGCATTCATGTATTAAGGTCACTTGCCCTGGGCCTGTGAATCATAGTCTACCTTGACTTCTCAGGCTGTGTTGCTGCAGTGGTGCTAACTGGTCAGGTCCACGCCCCCAAACACATAGGGGTTTGTGCTGTACCCCTTCATCCTTTGGGTGGAACCTCTTGGCAGAGGTCCCCAGAGGTTCATCAGGGATCACAAGGTGGAAATGGAGATATAATTATTTGGCTTTTCCTCAAATGGATGTTCTAGAAATGATTGCTTGACAGTTCTTTTAATCAAGAGAGGCAGATGCTATGTAGAAGAATGATACCTTACTCACCCAGAAAAACTATTGGATGCTGAATTCTTCTTCATTTGTGTGTGTCCCAGGGCAGTTACGTGTGAATCATGAGAGTGAGCCTTGAGGTTCCTGGTTCACCGTTTTTTAGTACAGTAGCTGACAGCCTTATGTGGCTAGTGAGTGCCTGAAACAGGCCCAGTGTGATGGAGGAACAGAATTGTTAATTGCATTTAATCTTGATTATCTTAAACAGAGAAGAATGGCTTGTCGCTGCCATGTGAGAGCATATAGAGATTCTAGGTTACCCACCTTGGACTGAGTCATTTCATTCCCCTCAGTGGGACCCAAGCAAAATTGCATGGCACGGCTGCCCCCGGGGTCATCTAGCTACCCCCTTTCGCCACACAGCATCCAAATATTTCCAAACCATCAGTTTGAAGAGGAAGCAAATACTTAGCACATCTCTTCACATCTGGCCAGTGCCCAGCTCACAGTAGTGCTTAATCTGTACTTCTCTAATGAGTTGGTCTTGCACTTCTCTCCGAATTTGCATGCGCATTCTTGGGACAAGGATGGAACTTGTTCCTTGTGTATAATAGAGTCTCAGAAAGTCATGAAGCATTCGTTCATTGGTGCTGAGATCGAGCTATTACGTTTCCTCTTTTGCCACGTGAGAAAGCAGTGATTAAGAGTGTGAGTCCTGGAGTCAGGTTCTTAGGTTGGAATCTGCATCTCCACTTTCTGATGGTGTAACCTTGAACAAGTTAACCTCTGTGTACCTTTTTTGTACCTGTAAGATGAGGATCATAATAGTACCTCTGTCATCATGGGGTGATTGGGCCAAGTAAATTCAAGCAATGGACTTGGTTCGTACATTGTAGCCTCCTGTTAGGACGAAGCAGGTCATGACTATGAGCCTGATAATGAAGATTTTCTGAAAAATGATTTGAGGGTGTGACTCTTACAAGTGCCCACAAGGGGGCAGCCTAAAATCACACATATCTCTGCAACAGACATCCTTCTGTTGGTAAAGCCTTAAGGTATCAGGCCAATTCAAATGTGCTTGGCCCTTTTCCCTCAGTTTTTCTCTTTCTTCTGTTCAAAGTACACTTTCAGTGGTTCTCAGTCTGTATCTTAGATCTGGAGGGTGACAGGTCATGCCTGAGCTGGTAAGTAGATGTGGGTGCTGTTGCCAGCATCTGTCCAGGGATCGTTGGCTTCTCTTTGTAGCTTTTCACACAGAGCAAATCCTTATTAATCAAATGCTTAATGTAGAGACTAGAGTTTGAAAATGTTTAGAGAATCATCATGGAGAAATCTGGTTTTCTCTCCCCGCTACCCTACCACTGACCACATGCCTGTCTTTGAGTGTTGTGTATGCACCTTGAGGCTTGTGGGGGTAGGGTGTGGCCCAAGTGGGTTGACCCAGAGATGCAGACCCGCCCCTGGCTCAGTAGGCCCTCACTCCCTGCAGGGAGACAGTCCTCTGCAGCTAAGCAAAATGAAATTAGGGTTCTGAAAGCAATGTGGGGGCACAGAGCTTCGTGGATCTGGGAAACTGTGGGTTCTTGAAGGTGGGTGGGGTTCATACAGGTTCAGGGGATGTAAGGGAAGGGGAGAGCAGCACTGATGAGCTGAGAAGATGGGCATTTAAATTCTTGATGCTGTTCATGTCGTCGGTACCATCGTAGTTCAGTTCAGTTCAGTCGCTCGGTTGTGTCTGACTCTTTACGACCCCGTAGACTGCAGCACGCCAGGCTTCCCTGTCCTTCACCAACTCCCAGAACTTGCTCAAACTCATGTCCATTGAGCCGGTGATGCCATTAATCATTAATTGTAATGATTAAGAGTTGACAAAAACCAAAGGAACTTATTTACAAAACAGAAATAAACTCCAGACATAGAAAACAAACTTATCATTACTAAAAGAGGAAAGGGGGATAGAGGTAAAATAGGAGTTTGTGATTAACATACATGCACTACTATATATAAAATAATCAGCAAGGACCTACTATATAGCACAAGGAACTATACTCAGTATCTTGTAATAACCTATAGTAGAAAAGAATATGAAGCAACATATATATGTATGTAAGTATGTGTATAACTGAACCACTTTGCTGTACACTTGAAGTGACACACAACACTGGAAGTAACTATACTTCAATTTTTTTTTAATGGGAAGTGGCACTTGGGTTGATTTTCCAAGACTTCTCTCTTGAGCTTTAATATCCCTGCTTCATAATCCAGGCTGCAAAATTAGATGCTTGTGGGGAATTGTGACAACCCAGAGCTTATCACATCCATCCTTATCTGCATTCCTGCTGCTGCTCTGCGGTTCAAGCCTCCAGGCCTCTCTCCTGGGCAGTGGAAGGCACACCCCTGAAAGGCGCATATTGTGGAGTCAGCTGTGATATTACCACAGAGGAGACCCAGGTGCTGGGCACATCAGTCCGGTTATAGCACTAAAGCCAATTTCTCCAGAATGTGGTCCTTGACCACTGTGTAAGTAATGCTCATGAATGATCAGTTGTGAGCAAGTGCAGTAAATTATTTTTAATCCTAAAACAACTGCGAAGATCATTTCATCTTTGCTTCAGAAAGCCCTCTAGGGTCCTGTAGAAGATGAGTGGAGATGCAGAGCTCCTGGGATGTTTCCCGGACATTTTAGGGGGGAATTGCCATTTGTTCAATTTTATTTCTTGTACTGATAATAAAACAAAATGAAATAACAAGTAAACAGGAGTGCATTATATTCCTTCTTTGTGATTCTAAAATGCTAAGATTGACATGGGGACAGACTTAGTAGAACCAAAATCAAACTTGAGTGTTACTTTTTTCCAGCTCAGTCATACATGCCCCTCAGCAGTTGTCTTCTTGCAGAAAGTCAAATGTTCACTAATAATAATAATCTGTGTAATAATTGTGTCTTCTTTTGTTCATCTGCCTTCCCCTGGGAGCTGGACCAGGGGAAGCCTGGTAGGCTTTTCTGCATGTTGCCAGGCCTGTAGCTTATTGAGCTTTGTGACTCCTCTGGGGCCTGGCCTGGAGCCAGAGAACTAGGAGGAAGGTTAGTTCTCCAGGGCTGGCCTGGGGCCACTCCAGCCCAACTTGGTGGGTGAGCGTTACAGCCACCACTACCACTCCTCAGCTCTCAGGTCTGGGCCACCCTCCCCTGTGGTAGGGAGTGATGGGTCACTTCACTCTGCGGGTGAAGTGATGTTGATGCTGATGTGTGCATGTGACCAGACACAGGGTGTGGCCCCAGCACCCCCTGGCACTCAGCAGATGGGGAGAGTGAAGTCTTTGATTGTGTTTTCTCTCTTGTAGCCATGGAAGGATTTTTAAAATCCGATGAGAGACAACGACTAGCTAAAGAAAGACGAGAAGAAAGAGAAAAATGTCTTGGTAAGTTGTGCACTTTGGCTGTTTAGGTCCAAGGGAGTAGAGATGTGATGGTGTCTTTTCTCAGGACTCTTAGAAATTTGTGACTAAATGAGAAAAGAACTGGGACAGTTGTTAGGTCAACGTGGAAAACTGGGAGCAAACCATCACTACCACTGGCCTGTTCACAGCTATTATGTAATTCTCAGGGCGGTTGATTTACTCGGTGAGCACGTGTTGAAGCTCTGTTACTGGCACGGCACTACAGCTGTGGGTAGGGTGCTGAGTAACGAGAGATATTCTCTGCACACCATGCCCCTCTTCAGGCAACTTCTCCCCAGGGCAGCTGAAGGGCCACCCTTGGAGGAACAGAGGAAATTGACACAGAAGGCCATTTCTATGTTAGGACAGGGAACCAATTGGGAAAGGCTGTCCTATTGGGAAAGGCTGTCCTACCTTGTAGGCTGTGGACAGAAGCATCAGGGCTGTTCCCCACAGGGTGCCACAGGTAGGTAGAGTGGCTTCCCTAGGGCACTGAGACAGAAGAGGAAATTTTGAATCCTTCTCCTCCTCCTGGTCACCTCAGACATTGCGTCCTCCAGGGAACCCTTGCCTGCTTGGCCAGGTGGAGTTAAGGCCCCTTAGTAAATGTCTCAAGAGGGAAGACAGTCCTGTTCATCCTCTTCTGTTTACTTTCACCCAGTTCAGCATCTGGTATGCAGTGTATGTACAGCTGATGTATCCTGAATGAAGATACCCTGATAGCTCTCGTTTCTCAATCCCCCATGTGGCCTAGCCATTGGGACAAGTCTGACTTGATGTGATGACAGACAGAGCTCCCACGTGTAGGGGCAGTGACTGTCTACTTTCTCTGCATTGTCTCATTCAGTCTCCACAACACTGTGATGTTGCACATCCCCACTTCACAGAGGAGGAAACTGAGGCAGACAGAGGACGAGGTTAATAGGCCTGGGGTCACCCAGCTAGTGGTGGAGGTGCCAGAACCCTTCCTCTCAGTTCAGTCTCACTTCTGCATTGTTGGTATTAAGCCAAACAGCATGGGGTGCTCTGGTAATGACACCTTTTTTCTGCCTTCCTTCCCCCAGCTGCCCGGGAGCAGCAAATCCTGGAAAAACAGAAGAGAGCCAAGCTCCAGTATGAAAAGCAAATTGAGGAGCGATGGAAGAAGCTGGAAGAGCAGCGGCAGCGAGAGGAGCAGAAGAGGGCAGCTGTGGAGGAGAAGAGGAAGCAGAAGCTCCGGGAGGAGGAAGTGAGGGCCGGAACAGGAACACAGAGAGATCCATTCAACTTAGCAGTTTATTTGCTGTGTGACCTCAGATAAGCTGGTTGGCCTCTCTGGGCCTTAATTTCTTTGTCTCTGAAGTGAAGGGGGTGGACTTGGTGGACTCCAAGACCTCTTTCAGATGTCTTCTCTGACGCTAAGACTCAGAGGGGATTATGGGTGGGGACTGAGTGACATCCACCTGGGGGTTACTCGAGGCATCCATGCTTCTGGGGCAGACACTACGCTGGAGGAAGGGCTGTGAGTGTAGAGGGTAATGTGACCTTGTAGTCACTGCTGGAAAATCAAATAGTCTACCTTCCAATACAAACATGCTAGTCTATTTATATTTTAATGCAGGTTCTTGTTTTAATCATCCTTTCTCTCTAGTTATGTTTAAAAAAAGAAATGGAATGTAATTACCTGACAGAGTCCTTTATTACTAAACTTTGAAAGTATATTTAGAAAGCATATTTGGGATATAGATTTTCTTAACAAGTATATTTTAAGAGTATAATCATAGCCTTGTATCAGGTGATGATCATTTTTTATTCATAAGGTATAGTGACTCATCATTTAGTATGAACAATATAAAGGTTTGTTAATTGCCAATACTGTAAGATAGAGTGAAAGGTGGAAGTGTTAGTTGCTCAGTCATGTCTGACTCTTGGAGACCCCATGGACTGTAGCCCACCAGGCTCCTCTGTCCATGGGATTCTCCAGGCAGAAATACTGGAGTGGGTAGCCGTTCCCTTCTCCAGGAGATCTTCCTGACTCAGGGATCAAACCCGGGTCTCCTGCATTGCAGGCAGATTCTTTACCATCTGAGCCACCAGGGAAGCCTATAAGATACAGAGATGTTGGTATAAATTCAGTATTTCTTTTAAATTTCTGAATTATCACTGTTTTTACCCTTTTGTCTTTTTTTAACTTAAAAAAAAACCCACAATTGTGCACACATACACACAGTTAGAACCATCTTTGCCCACAATGGACAGGCTTAAGTGGCAACTTCTTTGTTCCTCTTAGCGAATGGAGGCCTGAGGCAAGGTCTTAGTCACAGTTCACTGTTGCTGTCTCAGCCAGATCCCTATGTGCCTTTCCAAGCTCCTGGTGCAAATCCCAGCTCTCCCACTTAAGCAGCCAGCAGCCAAGGCCAAGTCCCACAGCCCCTCTAAGAACTCATTCTTCTCAGCCCAGAACAGAGAGATAGTCACAGGAGTTAAAGAAGGTGACTTTTGTAAAAGTGCCAGCAAAGCACTAGCACAGAGTAACTGCTCCCTTCGGTGACCTTGGCTGAAGCACGGTCAAGAGAGAGCTACCCAGAAAAGATGATGGCACAGGGTGTGGAGATCAAGAGAGAAGCCACGGTGAGCTGGGCTGTTTCAGTGACCAGGACGGACCTCTCCTTTCCCAGCCTGGCTGTTTGTCTTGAGTTGCTAGACTCGCCCCTTTCTTCCCACCCTCCCATCCTTGACTCACAGCTGGTCTCCTTCCTCCCTGCTCCCTCCACTTCCACTCCTGACCCCCTGCGGGACTGCTGATTGCAGGGAATGCTTGTCACTGCCATTTCCAGGAAAGGGTGCCTCAAAGACACAGGAGACACTTCCTCAGCCTCCACCACACCTGACAGTGCCACACAGGTCCACCTCTGAGGCATTCTGTACTTTGTTCTTTTATTGAACAACAGTGCCAGAGGCATTTTAAGTCAATCATTTTAAATCGGACTCCAGTCTCTTGCAGATGAGGGAATGTCATGCCAGCTGGTTAGTCCTGATGCAGCTGACTCACTAATGGTTGTGCTTGGGCTAATTTCCTGTTTGCTTTGTCTGCCCCCGTTCACCCCTTACATGATGATGGTGGGCAATGGGGCAGGCTGCCTGCCTGTGGCCAGCAAATACATGCCAAGCTTGCACCCCCTTCTCCCCAGACACAGCAGGGCAAGACTGAGAGCTGGGCCTCCCATGGATGCAGAGTAACCCGAGGAAGCAATGGGCTCCCTGCCCCACCTGTTCCTGCCCTTAGAGCCCTAGGAGACCTCAGTGGAGATCAGGGACTCTGCACATGCAGCCTGGTTGTCACTGCTCTGCTGGGGCCGAGGTCTGACTGGCATTCTCGTGAGGGATCTTTGGAGGGGATGGATAGCTCTCTGCTGCAGGAGCCTTTCCAAAGGAAAGCCTTCGCTCTTGCCTCCATGGTTCGCTGGAGATCTTTTGGGAGGGCTGCTCCCTGCTTGGCACGTGGCAGTGGAGACGCTCCACAATGCCAGGATCATCTCAGTCCTTTCTGTCAGGGCCCATCTCTGTCAACCAGGGAGAAGCCTGTATAGGATGATGGTTCACTCCATTTTGCTCCTCTAGCTTGCTGGAAAGTGTGTTCCCCAACAACTCCTGCCTCTCCGGTCTGATGTTAGGAGCTCAGAAAAGGCCTGTTGACTCCTCACCTCCCCACCAGCCCTGCCCTGGCTCCAGGTTTCTATGGTTGTTGGTATTGCTGTCACTTTTGGTAACACCTCACATCTGTGCAGGTGAGCCCCAGATGCCTCCTCTCTGACACCCCAGAATCTCCCAGAGATGTCAAAGCCTAGAAGGTAGGCAGGCCTGTCCTAGGGAAGGGGAAGTCCAGTGTCCTGACAGCCTGACCTTGAGCTCATTCTCTCATTGCAGGCTGCCTTCTCCTCAAGGTGGGTTCTTACAGAAACCCTCACATGCCACATAGCTCCCAAGCATCAAGCTTCTGGAACCAGAACCTTAACCTCCCTGGGTTAAGGGTGACAGCACAGTGTACTCACCTTTCTCCACTCAGGGAAGTATAGTTTCATGACTAGGAGCCAACTCCTTGTTCCTCCTGCTAAACAGATAAGCAGGAAAGGCCTCTTTCAAAGAGTACCTTCATCTCTGTAATTTACTTTAACACATCACAACTTCTCATCTTCTTCTTGCTTGATACCTGACAAAGCCCACCAGGCTGATTGTAAAAACAATCTGAACTCAACTAAATGAAAACTTCCCTAAGAAGAGAGCTGGCTGCTCTTAGAGGGCATTGGCTGGCATAGGGCCATGGTGATTACATGGCTTTCTAGCCAGATGTCGACGTCTGTTTCCAGAGAAAAAGGCCCTCCACGGAGCTCTGCTTAGGACCATTTGGGGGCTTGTCCCCATGCTGTCATCCCCAGAATGCATGGAGTAAGGGCAATGGGGAAGGTATATCAACCCTCTACTCCTGCCTGAGACAGCTGTCTGGGTAACAGTGGCCAGGCCGAACCCTGCCACAGGCTTTTTATACTGCTTGGCCAACTCAGAGCGTCACCCTGGTTATGGTTCTCCTGTAAGTTCATCCAGGTATATCTAGGGCCAGAGCTCAAGGGGTCAAGGTTGAGTTGCCCTCATTCCTTTCTTCCGCTAAGCCCCACCTGGGAGAGGACGAATATTCTAGGGATAAGAGTCTGCGTTGCCCTTTTGCCATCCTCTGTTGATGGTCAGATGATACTCAGGAGAGCCAGAACTTGGCAGGATTTGCAGTATGCAGCTCTGATATTTATTAATACTGTTCTTCTGATGCGATTGAACTTTCTCAACATGCTCCCTCATGCTCAGGCTTTCTTCTAACCAGTGGTTCTCAGTACAATCCCAAGACCAACAGTACCAACATCTCCTGGAAATTTGTCAGAAATGTATTCTCAGGATGTTCACCTTGGACCTGCTAACTCAGAAACTCTGGCGGTGGGGCACAGTAACTGGTGTTTTAACAAGCCCTCCAGGGGATTCTGATGCAAGCTCACTCACGTTTGAGAACCACTGCTCTAAATTGCCATGTTAATAATCCTCCTCTTCAAATTTGGATCCAGTTAGCATTGGACTTATTATGCTTGCTATTATCTTGTAAATTTGAATGACCTGTAATATAGGTAATATCATCATCCCCATTTTATAGACAAGGGAACTAATGCCCAAGGACGGCATCAAATGATTTACTCAGGATCATGGGGCTAAAAGATAACAGGCAGAAGTGGGATTTGAATTCATATCTTCTGACTCCAAATCTAGGATTCTTTACAGACTTACCACAGGAAGGAACAGAAAGATCCACACATGTACTATGTAATGTGGGACTAAATAGGACTAACCTCTAATAAGAGTGAAGTTTTGGTTTGACATGTTTGGAAAAAGCATCATCCCATTCTGACAACTTTGGGTTTTATAAGCCCACTTACCATAGAGCTTGGTTTGTTGTTGTTCAGTTGCTAAGTCGTGTCTGACTGTGTGACCCCATGGACTGGAGCCCGCCAGGCTCCTCTGTCCATGGAATTTCCCAAGCAAGGATACTGAAGGGGGTTGCCATTTCCTTCTCCAGGGGATCTTCCCAGATCAGGGATCAAACCCACATCTCCTGCATTGGCAGTTAAATTCTTTACCACTGAGCCACCAGAGACCTTGGTTATCGCCTATTTTTCATCATCTTCCCCAAAGTGGATGACACAAAGTGATTGTGTCTTCTCTCAAGGGTAACGTCATTTTCACAAGCCTGCTTATGGTTCAAAGGAATTAACCTCTCATGGTAGAGTTTGGAGCAGCTCAGTGGATTGGGGACGGATGACAGGTATTTTTTCTAAAGGTAACTTATTGACTCAGGAGTGGCTCTGGCTGTGGATGGCATTCCCTTATGGCTATGCCCCTAGACAGCTGTTCAGTGATGCGGCTGGCTGATCAGTCTTGGTGTTCTTAGTTCTCATTAGTGTCCAAATGGATGAGCAACTATCTTGTGAGGTCCTTCTGGCATGTAGGCAGTGTCCCATAACCCACTCAATATTAAATTCACTCTGAGGTGAAAGATTTCAACACTTAGATTAGGTCATTAGTTAAATCAGTTCAGTTCAGTCACTCAGTTGTGTCCAACTCTTTGCAACTCCATGGACTGCAGCACGCCAGGCTTCCCTGTCCATCACCAACTCCCAGAGCTTACTCAAAATGAGTCGGTAATGCCATCCAACCAGCTCATCCTGTCATCCCCTTCTCCTCCCACCTTCAATCTTTCCAAGCATCAGGGTCTTTTCCAATGAGTCAGTTCTTCCCATCAGGTGGCCAAAGTATTGGAGTTTCAGCATCAGCATCAGTCCTTCCAATGAATATTCAGGACTGATTTCATTTAGGAAAGTTAAATACTTGATGTTTAATCTACATAATGAATTACTGTTGAGTTCCAATCTTGAGTGACCAGACTTCAGTCCTCAAATAGTTAAGAAGTTTTAGTTCCTCCAAGCCCCTATCTTTTCTTGTACAAACTGCTGGGACTGACTGTGAGAATTTAATGGGCCAGGGTTGTGAGGACAGGGTTCTGTGAGGAAATGCACACTCATGATTGTAGAGTCTTAGCCAGAAACTAGTGCACAGTTAATAGCAAATACAAATCTGAGATTTACCAGAGGAAAGAAATACCCTTTCTGCTCATAGGTCCCTGAAGAGGCCATCTTTTAGTGCAGTGCTCTTTGGAGGAAAAGTTATGCAGCAGAGTCTGCAATGTGGGGAATGCTCATTTCATTCCTCTGGTATGGACAGAAAGGTAGATCCACGTGTCTCCTAAGTGGCCTTTCTGTGTTTCAAGTGAGTGAAATAAAGAAGCCTTTCCCCACTTCTTAAGTCATGGTCACTCCTTTGGTGCTGCTCTAAATTAATTTTGCTCACTTCTTTATTTAAGTCATGAGAAAATAATATCTTTTGGGTTTGAAGTTCGACTAGGATTAGCCCAGCACCTCAGGGTTAGTTTTATGAGGGTGAAAAGGTGTCCATGCAACCGCTTACCCTGCGGACTTTCTCCAGTGGAGGCAGGGAGTGGATTTGGGATTTGCAGTGTCATTGAGGTTGTGGGGAGCACATAATTAGGACAGCTTCACTCCAGTGCAGGGGAGAGATTTGCCAGCAACAGGCCCAACTTTATGAAAAGAACAGTTGGGTTAATATAGGGGCGTGCTTTTGATAAATGCTCTGTTAAGAGAGAAGCCTGGTTGTTGTTTTTATCTTCTGGCTTAAAACTGTTTAGTTCTTCCTCCCTTCCCCCCATCTACATGTGAGAATACATAAATGCTTAATTTTGTAGTCATAAGTTTCCCTACTCTTGTGTCTTTTTGAATTTTGAAATATGCAGTATTATCCCCAGAATACTATGTAACACAAGCAGAAAAATGTTACAATGGAGAACACAGTTAATTCCCGTTTAAGAAGTTCTAAGATGAAAATGGGACCTTGTAAAACAGACTTCAAAGTCATGGTGTATCACCCCAGAAAGTTATGCTTAAGGCTACTGCAATTCAAATTATGCTTTAATTTCAGTTTGCTCAAATCATAGTGCTGTATGCTTTTCAACTCGAGAGGATGCAGTTGGTTCTAGAGCACAATTCCAGTTCTGCTGGATGGGATTGGTGTCAAGGAGTTAACTCTGGCCTGGCACTATTCTTAACCAAATCAAAGCCTGGCTGCTGCTGCAGCCGCCTCTCTCCAGGGAAGGGAGAGGTGTTGGCGCTGGGAGCCCGCAGTAGCCGCAGCGTTTTCTCTCCGCCCACTAAGAAAGCGCTGGTGTGGTGGGGCGAGCACTCGTGCCTGGGTTTTGGATGCAGAGCAGAGAGCCCTGTCTGGTGACTCACGCCCACGCAGAGGCACAGCAGTGCGGTGGGGCTGGGTGTTTAATGTTGCTGCTCTCTCTTGCATGAACTGGACAGGAGCGGCTGGAGGCGATGATGCGCAGGTCTCTGGAGCGCTCGCAGCAGCTGGAGCTGAAGAAGAAGTGCTCGTCGGGAGGAGCATCACTGGCTGCCGGGCCCGGAGGACGTGATGGTGAGTGAAAGACTGTCCCTGCATCACAGGGCCCAGTGGGGAGATCTCGGGGGGCAGGAGGGGGAGACTGTGGGCAGGCCAGCACCCACAGGATCTGGGGGTGCTTTATACTGGTCTTCAGGTACCTTTTTCAGATGTGATGTTTAAAGCTTGCCAAGCTTCCTGTGTATGCATTTCTTGTGAAGGAGATCTGTTCATTCTTCTTGCTTGCAAACAGCAGTTGATACAGTAACTGGGCTTTGAGGTAAAGCAAAAGAAAAAGCAAAGAAAATGACTGTAGAGCCTGGTTAATTGGATCCACCTAGCAAGCCCAGAGGTAACCTGATTTCAGGGAAGGTCAATGGCTGTGGACTAAGTCATGGCTACAGCTTGACTGGGAAAGGCTGAGCAGCAGTAACCCCTAAAGGGAGGCTGGGGTTCTTCACTCCACATCATTTATTTCTGTTGCTCTTTCAGTTTTGTTTCAAGGTGACTTATTTATTTCATTATCCAGTTCATACTCATCTTTAAATTTTCAGATGTTTAATTTAATGTATGGATTGTTACTAGTCCCTGGGTGGCTTTGCCATCTTTTTAGTGTCTTCTTTCCTGTGTCTGCCATTATGTTATGCAGGAGTTGTATACCAGCTCTTTCCAAGAGCAAATGGGTTTACATGTGTGGTACAGTTTCTTAGGGACTTCTCTGGTGGCTCAGAGGATAAAGCGTCTGCCTTCAATGCAGGAGACCTGGGTTCGATCCCTGGGTGGGGAAGATCCCCTGGAGAAGGAAATGGCAACCCATTCAGTATTCTTGCCTAGAAAACCCCATGGATAGAGAAGCCTGGTGGGCTGCAGTCCATGGAGTCACAAAGAGTCGGACACGACTGAGTTATTATATTGTTCTTACGACTGAAGCAACTTAGCATACACAACCTTTTGTCAGTGAATATGCTTTTCTGTTTTAATCTGGAGAAGTTAACAACCCATCCCAGTTACTTTTTCTAATTTCCTAATACAAGCTAGAGTCAACCAGAAATTGGAACTTTTTTCTTTTACCTCTCTTTGGTCTGATTTTTTTTTTTTTGCTGTGTAGGTGAATCAGGAAATACCCCACCCCCTCCTCTAGGTTTAGCAGCCAGCACCCTCCCTCTGGACCCAGGGACCACTGCCGTCGCTGCTGAGTCAACCAACGGTATATCTGAGCATCACTGTGCCATGGCGTTTTGTGATGACTGTCCCGGTCACCCTCCTCCATCACTGTGTCTGTCTTGAACACTTTTGCAATTGATTTCTTAGAACTTTTTTTTCTAGAGATACAAATGACGTTCCCATATTTCTTTATTTGTCTTCATGGAACATGCATGCCTTACATCCTAGCACCCTGGAGACATTTCATCTTTAGCTCACTAACTTCTGCCTTGAAAATGTTGTCAGTCTTTGGCTTCTGTGCATTTAGATCTTTAACACTCTCATGTATCACTGGTTTTAGGCATTAAGTAGTAGTGTATTTCAGTCACTTATGGTCACCAAAACCTATAATTATACAGTGTTAGGTATGAATGTTATGGATTCCTATAGAGGCATTTGAGTTTATCAGTACTAATACTGTGAATACAGACAAGGAGATAAATTGGCTTCGTTCTTGATTTCCTCTCTCTAATAGGCTCTCTGTTTTGTATACAGGCCTGGGAAACCCTTAGGGTCTAGATCAAGAACAGAACTAGCAAAACCTTGCTCCCATTTAATGATGATTTCAGGAATTCAACTCATCTTTGGCTGGCAAAGAAAAAACAAGATGTAAAGGATACAATATTTACCACCTACCCAAAAGGTCAAATTATAGCAGTAGGAATAAATATCCTTGGTTTCCAGCATTTCTTTGACAAAGGATAATTTTTATTGATACTACTGAATAGCAGAGTCTTTGCTGCCTGGACTGCACTCATTGTCCTGTGGGCACTGGCCTTCTGCCCACAGAAAGGGGAAGGTAGAGTTGACAACTACTCCTTGGAAAATCACACCCAGGGCCCCGGGCCAGGGTGAGGTGTGGTATGTGAACAGAGCCCTCATTTTAAGGGAACACCCAAAATCTCAGTAATCAAGATAAAAGAATATTTTAATCAAAATCACTGCAGAACAATCCATGATGAACAAACTATTGAATTTCCAAAGACTAGTACCATGCTGAGCCATATGGGAGCCTGAGGCAGAAGGGGAAATACGTATCCCTAGAGACATGATTTTATGTAATTTCTAATGGTTATTTTTTTCAGAACATTGAAATACTTGAAAAACTTACTGAAACACTGAAAAGTATATTAAAACTCTTAACATTTAAAGTTTAAGTATTTTATTTATACCCAAACAATATCATTTTACTGCAGTCTAAGTTATTTAAAAATTATTTAGGATCATCAGTTGGTCAGGAGAAATTGTCACACATGGCACTTCTTTCATCTGAAAACAAGATGAATAGAAGAGCAGATTTTGAAAATATTATTGATGAGTTTGCTTCCTTTAGAGCCGGGGCCATGCATCTTTCCTTTTGCCTAAAGCTCTGACACAGGTACTGTTAGCACCTCTCCAGTTGTTGTGATGATTTCCTTTACAAGCCTGCACCAAACCCAGAACCACATGTTGAAATCCTAACCATAAACAGTCAGAGCCTTTTGAGAAAGGGCCATTGTGACCCCGTTTCTTGATAAGAGCAAGAAACCAACTGCTAAAGGTTGTTCTGCTTTAAATACAGCTCTTTGCTTTACAAATTACTCTTCTCTGCAGCATGAGCTCTAGATAACCTCAGAAAAAGTCCGGTTTCAGCTCACAGTCTCAGTCAGATCGTAGAACATTTGGCAGTGGTGATTGGTCTCTCAGTCCAGGTTGGTTTTGTTTTCGTGTAGTCTGAATATACTTAAAAGTCCATGGACACAAGGAAATGGTTGGCTTGTGGGATTAGCATGGCTTTAGTTGAACAGTTGAGTGAGGTTGAACATTTGAAATGAAAGAGAAGCACAAAGTTGAGCAGTGAAAGAGAAGAACTTGCTTCAGATGGATGGGTACTGTGGCCCAGGCCTTCTCAGACATGCTCAGTAGCGAGCAGGGAGCTGGAGGCAGCGTGCTGTGCCACAGTGGTTTTAGAGGCATGTGGATGAGGAGAGGAAGAACACCTTGGAAAATGTGTTTCTTGGTTGAAGAGTGGTGTGAATACCAATGTCTTTAATGCGTTTCTCTGCAGCATGTGACAAACTTTCAACATCAACCATGAATTTGCCAAAGCAGACGGAGCCTCCCATGAGTAAGCGCCTGTCTTCATCCACTGCGGCAATATCCTATTCCCCAGACCGAGGCAAGTGAACGTGTAGACCTGGTCTCTCCAGTTTTCTTCTTTCTAGTGTGAGCATTGGTGTTAATGTCGGTCTTTGTGAGAGCCCCTCTTTTGAGCCTTCTTCAAATACCCCCAGCATCCTAGCCTTGTGATCTGTGTGTGGAAGCCCGTGGGCCTCACTAATGGGACTTTGGAAAGTGGCATTGCTCTTTAGAGCCAGGTCATTGTTGGAAAGGGACAGGAGTTAATGCTAGTCTCCCAGTCTGAAAGAGACTTCCGTTTTCTACAGTGCACATAGACGTTATTGTGGCCTGGAGTTAATTGACCAGAGGACAGATGTGACTGTTAAAAAAGCAACTGCCCGGTTATTGGTGCGCTATTGTTGGTTAGCCAGACACAGTGGGATTGATGAGGCAGAGGTACATGGGAGACTCAGATATGTGAAAAAATGGGGCTCTGTTATTGTCTGTGATCTGTAAGCCTACTCATTTCTGTTTGGAAAAGAGAAGTTCAGAACTAATATGAAATATTTAAAAGGGTGAAAGAATGGGTGGCATTTTCTGTTTTGAGGCCGGAGATGATGGGTATAGGACAGTGCCAGTTTCAGAAACTGAATAGATTCAGAATCAGCCATGTTCTAATGGAGGCTCAGAGAAGGCACTGTAAGTCTGAATTGATACCTTTTAGAGTATGTAGGTTAAGGAAGGGAGGGAAGCTCTCCATGCATAAAATGCATTTCTTAGCATCAGTGAAGAAGTGTCTGGTGCCAGTGGTGTATTTAACACGTCGAGTCATCACCAGGGGGTAAGCAGGATGATGTTTGTGACTTTGAAGATGCCAGTGACTTTGAAGATGGCAGTGTACCTTCCTGGTTTTCTTCCTCTGGCTTTAACTTTGCACCTCTAGCACAGAGGTCTGTCCTGTGTGTCAGAGAACCCATGAGTGTCAGTGTTGATGATTTCTGATGCAGTTCATGGGTAAGTGCTAGAAACCTTGAATTAACTAAGAGTTGGATGAGAAAACATCTACATGCTTTTAACTCTATGTATCTGTTCTATTTGTATGTCCTGTATGTTTTCATTCATTCATATGATAACAAATTGATGTTAAATTCATATTTGCATTGATTAATGTATAAAGATAATCACTATGATATTTATATATTGTTGGCCGCTCAATTATCTGCTTGTGGATTATTAATTGAAACTTTGAAATTCCAAAACCATTTTTCTGGCTAGTGGATATCCAAAAACTACAAAGTAATTGAAAAGTTAATCCGTTATCACACAATATGTTCCAAACCATCAAAACGACATTCAGTCACTAAATTTTAGAGTATGAATACTGCTACTTAACTTCCATTAAAGCTGATAATTAGTTGGCTATTTTTATGTTTCTTATTTAATCTTTGCCCTTGTTTATATGGGAAAAAGTATGTAAGGATGCACATTTCTACATTAACAAAATCAGTGTGTTATAAAATATTTCCTAACAGAGGACCTAAAACAAGTGTTTTGTAGGAGTAATCTTTTTTTCAGTGTTAGAGCTACTTTGGTGAGTAAATGGTTTCTTGAGTCCATATTACATCTTGAAAGATGGGCTAAGTCTCTTCTGGTGATACAGTAATTCTGTAGTAGCATATTGAATGAATTCTGGCATCCCAAGAGAAGTAACGCACTCTCCCAAGCTCTAAATGTCACATCGTCCGTTTTCTTTTGGAAAAAGAAAAGCTCTTTTGGAGCTTGGTGACAAGCTCCAAAGCCATCCTTTACTGCAGTACTTTTATTTTCCACATTCATTCTGCCACCCCAAAATTGATTTGCATCAGGCACTGTGTTGTTTTAGGCATTTTATTTTGTTTTGATTTTGCTTTTTAAAATTTTCATTTGATTCCATCCCTCAGCTCATCGCATGCACCTTAGTCCCATGGAAACATTTCTTGTTATGCGACTGTTGACACCCACACAGGCTTCTTTAGCCAGAAGCAGAAGTACACTCATGTTCTCTGAGCAGGCCAGTGACTCAGGTAAAAGAGGCCAAGCTGGTGACACTGAGGAAGGTGCCCCAAGTGGTATTGGTTGGCCTATGAGTTTTTCCTGAATTTTTGTATCTTGCTTCCTGTTCTCTGGCTTCATGAAATGTCTTCAATGGTTAATAACATTTTCTATCCACCAGTGTCTTACTGTTGCTATGTTCCTTGTCTTTCAAGTGTTACAGAGGTGAGTAAGTTATTTTATGATTGAGGGCATGTGGATTAGGAAAAGAAATCCATTTCATGAGCTCTGGAGGTTAGTAGACTTTTTTAACCAGACAGTTTGGTAAAAATAGCCTATACACTGCAATCTCAGAAATCCCGTAACTAGCCCTACCACTTACTAGCTCTTACCACTTTGGGTAAGTTAATTAACCTTTCTAAGCCTCTGTTTCCTCATCTATAAAGTGGAGTTATTTTAAATCGGCATGAGGGTTAAATGAAATAGCACAGTTCTGGGCACAGTAAGCACAAATATCTAGAGCCTCACTACTCAGGCTCCACCAGACCTGCACACTGAAGTCCAGGAAACACTGGGCCACATCATCAAAGCCTTTCCTTGACCAAAGCAGATCAGACTGTCATGGCATGGTGAATGGGGACTAGCATTCTCTGTTTGCAAATAACGCCATGCCTACATTAGGCATGTTGGGTCTCCATCTCAGTTCCCAAGATATAGTGTATTCAGTGAGATAACATATAAATGACATATTGTCCTCTACCTTGTTCTGTCTGTTTACAGGTAGTTGTGCAGAAACAGCACAGCAGAGAATATATAAAATGGCCAATAAGCACATGACAAGATGCTCAACAGTCTTAGTCGTTAGAGAAATGCAAATCAGAATCGTAATACCATGGTATTATGATTCTGATTTGCATTTCTCAAAAAGATAATACAGTTGACTCTTGAACAATTTGGCAGTTGGGGGTACCAGCCGCCTCAGTCAAAAATCTGCATATAACTTTATAATCAGCCTTCTGTCTTGGTTCCCCATACAGACTCAACCAACCACAGATAGTACTATAGTGTTTACTATTGAATAAAATCTGAGTGTAAGTGGACCCATGTGCTTCAAACCTGTCTTATTCAAGAGTCAGCTGTAATACGTATTGGCGAGGATGAGGAGAAATTACAGCCTTTGTACATTGTTGGTGAGAATGTACAATGTTGCAGGCACTCTGGAAAACAGTCTGGCATGTTTTTCAAAATGTTAGAATTATGAGATGGATGAAACTGGAGCCCATTATACAGAGCGAAGTAAGCCAGAAAGATAAAGACCATTACAGTATACTAACACATATATATGGAATTTAGAAAGATGGTAACGATAACCCTATGTGCAAAACAGAAAAAGAGACTCCTATGTATAGAACAGACTTGTGGACTCTGGGAGAAGGTGAGGGTGGGATGTTTCAAGAGAACAGCATCGAAACATGTATATTATCTAGGGTGAAACAGTTCACCAGCCCAGGTTGGGTGCATGAGACAAGTGCTCGGGCCTGGTGCACTGGGAAGACCCAGAGGGATTGGGTGGAGAGGGAGGTGGGAGGGGGGACCTGGATGGGGAATATATGTTAAAAAAAAAAAAAAAAAGATACACTATGGTTGTGAAAAAATAAATAAATAAAATGTATGATTTACTAAAAAAAAAAAAAATGTTAGAGTTACCACATGAACCAGCAATTCTACTCTTTGATGTAGAGTCAAGGAAATTGAAAACATACACAAAGTATACAAGTGTTAGTATTATTCATATTAGCCGCAAAGTGGCAACAACCCAGATGTCCAACAACAGATGAATGGACTGAAAAAAATGTATTTATTTATAAAGTAGAATATTATTCAGCTGTGAAAAGGAATGAATTACTGACATGCTACATGATGAACCTTGAAAACATTATTCTCAGTGAAAGAAGCCAGGCAGAAAATGCCACAAGTGATATGATTCTATCTATATGAAATGTCTGGAATAGACAAATCCAGAGTGACAGTAAACAAGTGGTTTGCTAGAGAGGGAGGGGAGTCAGTGCTTAATGGGCACAGAGTTTCTTTTGCGGAGATTGAGAATATTCTGGAATTAGACCATAGTTATGGTTGCACAACCTCTGAATATACTAAAAGCCACTAAATTGTATACCTTTAAAGGGGTGACTTTATAATATATGAATTATGTCTCAAACAAATAAACAAAAAATTCCTGAAAAGTAGGAAGTATCCCCATTTTGAGAACAAAGAATGTATCAGGAGTACCACTCCTAGGATCGATGATTCTCTAGGAGGTCTCAGAGCTATGATTTATCGCCGCAAATGGCTACAGAGCAAAATAGGTAAAGGGAGAAACTGCATGGAACAAAGTCCAGGGAAGAGCAGGCACAGGCTCCCAGCATCCTCTCCCAGTGTAGTCACACAGGACACATTCCCCCAGCAATGAGTTAGGACATGTGTGAAGTGTTGCCAACCACAGAAGCTCATTATGCACTCGGTGCCCAGAGTTTTTATTGGGGGCTGGTCACATGAGCACCCTCTGCCAGGTCCATGCTCAAATTCCAGACTCAGAAGAAAAGCACGTGTTCAGCATAAATCATAATGTTTGTACAAACAACTTAGGCACAGTGACCTACTTATCAGTTAATGGTGAGAACCCTTCTGAAATCCAAGTTTCCAGAGGCTTACAAGGGTCAACCTTATAAACAGGCCCTTCCAAGGACAGCAGTCAGGTCTGCTATGTTAACTCTCTCTTGTACAAGGGAATTGACATTTAGAGAGATTAAGTAACCTACCCAAGGTGAACCAGCTATTAGGTGATGGTGCTAGGTCCACCTGGCACCAAAGCCCAGATTTTGAATTCCTGAAATGACCTAGACTCTTTAGCATTGAGCATGGGAGTCTTTTAAGATAGCATCTATTCTGCATATACTAGAAAAAGTATGGCAGTGTTTTGAGAATGTGGATTGCTCGTGTCATGTTTTAACTGAAATGTGGTTTTCTTCCCAACTCTCTGCTTTCCTTCAACTTTTCCGTCTGTTCTCCCTGTCTCTGGCTTTTATACTGTAACTCTAGTATCCCGTGCCTGTCCCCGTGTAGCTCCTGCTGGCTCCCTTAAATCTTCCTACAAGTCTTCTCCCACTCGAAATGTTGAGAGGAAGAAGATCACATCTACATCTGGTGGAGGAGATGCTGGGAAAGGCGCCCCTGCCGGAGTGGAGGCCTCTCCAGTAGGTTTCTATCCATTCACCTCTTGGGACTGGGTTATCTTACACTGTGATTATTCCCTGCACTTGACCTGGGGTCTGTTTCCATCAGTCTCCAGGGACTGCTCACGGAAAAGATTTGGTTTTAAATGGTACCCAACCTTTGAAAATCCTGTAACTTTTTGCACCCTCGTAAATCTTACTGCCTTGAAGTAGATTTTCAAAACCCTCAGAAGGAGGTTGGGGGTCAGAAAGAATGTTCCGAGTGCCCTTTCTCTGCTTCTTTAAGAATGTATGCTTCTGGGCCAGTTTTGCTTCTACAGGCAACTAGAACTGAGGTTCTGGGTCAACTTTCATCCACATCAGTGGCCTTTGAACATTTTTGTTGTCTTGCTAACACCATCAGTAAGGCAGATGTTTAGCAGTATCCCCAATTGTGTCTGTTTGCTTAGAAATTATATATGCCATATTATTTCATTAGTTACCACTTGCTGTGTAACGAATCACCCCAAACCTTAGCAGCTTAAAGCAAATGTGTATTACCTCACTGGTTCTTTGGGTCAGAAATTGAGGACATCATAGCTGAGTGGTTGTGGTTCAGGGTCTCATGAGGGTGTGGTCAGGACTGCAAGCAGCTAGGACTGCAGTCATCAGAAAACTTGTCAGGGGTTTTCCAAGATGGCTCGTTCATGTGGCTCTTGGCAGGAGGCCCCCATTCCTTACTGCATGGACTTCTCCATAGAGCTGCTTGAGAGTCCAAACAACATGGCAGCTGGCTTCCTTCAGAGCAAAAGATCAAAGAGAGAGAGAGACCAACTCATGCTTGAGGAGAAGGGAACTAAGCTCCACCTGTTAAAGGGAGGAGCATCATATCACATGCGGACTTATTTTAAATACCACATTACCTTTGGGCATTTATTTTGTAATACCATATTTATTTTTTTTAATCCAGTATGATCCTGAGCTTCTCACAGGAGAAGTCAATGTTTCAGATGCTAGGGTTTTACTGTAGGTTGGATTACTGTGAAAGAGGGCTAATGTATGTGGGCCCCATGAGGATTTGCTGCAAAAAGTTACAATAGGGAGAGAAGAGCACCACCATCGTGGAGCATCTGGTCTGGGCCAGGCCCAGGCGCCAGTGTGGGGCAGGCCATGGAGATGTTGAGGGATGGAGGGGTTATAGTCCCTGTTAAACCAGGTACACTGTCAAGGTCCCCAGCTCACTGTCTTGCACCCATCTATAGCTATCTTATAGTGATTGTATATCTTTGTAGTCATTCCAGGTTCTGTATGTCCAGGACCATAATCTGGTTCCCTTATTAGCTTATTATAAGATAACAAGGAAAAGGAGGTATTTATGTTTTAAGACTGAAATTTTTTCCCCTGACTGAATGACCTAAATGTGATGATCTCCTGGTGCTTTTCTGCAAATATGGCCATGGTGGGAAGCAGTATAGCTTTGTTTGGTTCCTTCTGAAAAAAAGCTGTGCATCACTTCCATCTGGGGTATTTTTAAAAATTCATGGAATTGATGGGCCATGGCTGTCCTATTCTGTGTCTCCTACAGACAGAGAAGATGAAGAGGGGGCCGAGAGCAACTGCTTCTGTATCCAGCGTGGGCCTCATGTCTCCTCTGAGAAGCATTTCTAAGAGGTCGTCTTCTCCTGTGACATCTAAGTAAGCCTCTTTCTCCTTCACCACAGTCACATGCAGTTTGGGGGGAGGCTGTGGGTGGGGTGGCATGTGCCTCCAGCTCCCCCACAAGGCGTGGCCAGTGCTCTGAGGTGTGCTATATGTTTCTGGATAAACAGTGGGGTCTTGAGGGCTTCGTTGCCTGGTGGTATTGGACCCTGATTTATGGAGATGATCCACTTGGCCTGTTTTCTTTTGGTGAATCAGTCCCCTTCTACTTTTCTGGCCTTCTCCTCCAGCTGCATCTTGAGTGAAGGGATTGCATTGTACTTGAGCTCTGAAGCCCATGTGCTCCATGCTTGTTCTCATGCCCTCTCGTCTTATCTATCTCTTTAACAGAGGCAATAATAACTTCTCAGTCACCATCGGCAGTGTGTTTTTTTAATAATGAAGCCATTATATTCTTTTGTTAAGAACTGAGTGAACTCACCAATGAAAAACTGTGTGACTGAAAAACAAATGTACACTGCGTGACCACTGACCTAAGTCTTTTAAATATTTTACTAAATATTTTACTGACAAGAATAACTCAATATATTAATAACTCAATCCAGCAATAGAATGGAAACATCTTCAGAAGTACTGAGGAAGAAAGAGAAATATGATTTTAATTTGGAAAAAAGATATATATAGAGAGAGAATCACATAATGCTTGTTCTAGTACAACAGTTTGGTTCAGAGAACATAGGAAGAAACCCAGATTTTTAATGAACACTTGGGAATTTAAAAAAAAATATTTCAAAGTGATGTCAGCTCTTATTTCTGATTTGTTGCTTTCTGAGACTGTTCCACTAATATTGTTTTGCTCAGAGATTGCTGTGATTTTGATAAACTGCTAATACTGGTTTTTGATGTATCTGCCTTCCATAGAGAAAATCTTTCCATAGCATATTACTGAATTCATAGCGTTTTTTTTTTTTCCTGAAGTCCATTGCATTCTTTCTGTGCCTGTATTGCCTGTCTCTGGTTATGGTATTGCTCTTTTGCAAACTCTAAATCCATTAGGTGGGCTTTGAGGTCTCTGTCTTATTTCTGAGCCTTCCATTTACATATCACTGCTCTGGTATCAGTTTGGGACATTGACATTAACAGGGAGAAAAACCTGTTCCTACTGGGGTTTTTCCATATTCCACCCTATCTTTGCTGGATATTGACTCTTTGTCCCTGCATCGATAGTAGCTGGCAAGTTTAATCATCATCATTGTACATTTCACAGAGATGAACTGGGTCGGGGAGGGTAGAGGGCATTCCCTCTATAGAGATAAGAATTCAGTTTTTGGAAGCAGGCTTGTAGTGGGCTCTGTGCTATTTCTTTGAAGTTGAAAATCCTGAAGGTTGTGTTTCAGGAAATACTTTATATTTTAAAGGACATAATATTTGAATGTTGTAAAAGCCTTCTCTGACCAAAGAGACTCAAACACAATCCCAGACTTTTTATAATGTAGTTCAATTTAGAGAAATATTTAAAATTTCTACTCTGTCCAGTATTGAGCACCTAGTAGATGCCTCCTAAGTATTCGTGGAATGAATGAGGGCAGGCCACTGTGCTAGGTGCTCTGGAGAATCCCCAAGCAAATGAAAGTAGTCTCCACTTGGCTGGGCCCCCGGTGATGGAGGAGGTAGATGTGGACCCATATAAGGACAGTTCTAGGCCTGCTCGAAAGAGAGAGCTGCGCACCTTGAACTACTTGTCCCTCAGAACTCAGCTCAGCTGGCATCCTCTCCAGAACCAGCCAGAGTGGAATTTGCCCCTTCTCTGTGCTCACAGGACATGCCTATGTCAGTCCTTCCTTCATCAAACACCCGTAGAGCACCTACTCTGTGTCCAGCACTCTTATCAGTCCTCGTGGAGCTTGCCTGACAGTAAACAGCAAATATAAAGCAGGTGGTGATAAATTCTGTGAAGAAAAATGAGCCTGGGTCAGATGGCAGAGAATGGCAGAGGGGAGTAGCTAGACCAGGTGGTCACGAAAGACTTTTCTGAGGAGGTGACGTCAGAGCAGAGCACTCTGCATGAGGCGAAGGAGCAGGATGAACTGATATGTGCTTCATTGCACTTGATTTCCTGCTTGGCTGCCGAGAGGGCAGGGGCTGACTCAGTTTATCGTTGCACAATCTGGGCTCAATATGAGTCTGTGGATGCTTAGCTGGGGGGCGGGAGGTGGATCTGGAGGGCAGAGTGGTCTGAGTAGGTATGGGCAGTGCTGGGGCCAGACCTACCCAAGGACTCAGACCTTTTGGATCCTCATTCCTTCTGGAACATTCATCAGTTTATTCTCCCACTGAGCAGTTTCTTAAACATTCTGTTTTCTGGGCTGAATGCTTCACTTGGGGAATTTTTAAAGGATGAGGGATAATGGTTTCTGTACCATGCTGCACAAGATTCCTACCACTTTCAACAAATTGATAGACTAGCTTTAATTTTCAGAGTCCTATACATGCCATCTCTTGCATAGGCAGGAAAAAGAGCACACACTACCACAGCTGGACTTCTGTGCACAAGGTGCCCTGGGGATAAAGATTGCTCAGGCACCTCCAAATCAGAACTACCAAGTTGAGACATCTAAGGAATAGCAAACATTTCTTGATTTTAAAATGTTCAGAAAGAAAGTTGTTTCTCCTGGGGATGAAAAGTAGTGAGCGAACTACAGTGGGTATGGGCTAGGTCTGAGACATGTGGAAAGCCAAGTAGACTGCAAGTAAATTCTGAAAATCCAACCAAACTACAGCAGTGAAAAAGAGTGGATTTCAGCTGCCCACAAGCAGTGGGTGGATTTCAGGTATGCAGTGTTGAGCAGAAGAAGGAAGTTGTAGAAGAATGTCAGCAGTGATTCCATGTATCCTGAGTTCCCAGATGTTCACACCCAGTGTGTTTTTAGGAATATAAATGTGGTAAAATTATTTTTAGAAAAACTAAGAAAATGGCAAACATAAAATGCAGAATGATGATGACCTTTGAGGAGTAAGTGGGGGTGGGGTCAGGAAGGGGCATGTGGCAAATCCTGGCCTAGTATGGCTTCCTCTTGCACTAGTTGGTGTGCGTGTGAACATTTCTTATATCATTCTTCATATGTTTTGTATTTTATAAGTAATCTTTTGTATACTCAATATTGAAGAAAGATGAAAAAGAAACACTTGATTTTTTAAAATGGTATCACACAAAATAAACCCCAACCACATGGGCATTTTCAGCTTTCCCTTTGTGTAGACCAAGCGTGTGATCTTTAAAGCACACTGGAAGTGACATGGTTTTGAATAGCATGAGATGGAGGCTAGTCAGTCCCTATGAACACTCATCCAGAAAGGCAGACGGGACTTGTGATGAATGGCTCTGACAGTGCATTGTTCTCCTCCCAGATCTGTTGTTGTTGTTCAGTTGTTAAGTCGTTTCTGACTCCTTGCAACCCCATGGACTGCAGCATGCCAGGCTCCCCTGCCCTTCACTGTCTCCCAGACTTTGCTCAAACTCATGTCCATTGAATTGGTGATGCCATCCAACCATCTCATCCTCTGTTGCCCCCTTTTCCTCCTGCCCTCAATGTTTCCCAGCATCAGGATCTTTTCCAGTGAGTCAGCTCTTCACAGCAGATGGCCAAAATATTGGAGCTTCAGCTTCAGCATCAGTCCTTCCAATGAATATTTAGGATTGACTGGTTGGATCTTTTTGCTGTCCAAGGGACTCTCAAGCACCACAATTCGAAAACATCAGTTCTTCAGCACTCAACCTTCTATATGGTCCAACTCTCAGATCCATTCATGACTACTGGAAAAACCATAGATTTGACTATACAGACCTTTAGACAAAGTGATGTCTCTGCTTTTTAATATGCTGTCTAGGTTTGTCATAGCTTTCCTTCCAAGGAGCAAGTGTCTCTTAATTTCATGGCTGCAGTCACCGTCCACAGTGATTTTGGAGCCCAAGAAAATAAAGTCTGCCACTGTTTCCACTTTTTCCCCTGTCTATTTGCCATGAAGTGATGGGACTAGATGCCATGATCTTAGTTTTCTTAACATTGAGTTTTAAGCCAACTTTTTCACTCTCCTCTTTCACTCTCATCAAGAGACTCTTTAGTTCCTCTTCACTTTCTGCCATTAGAGTGGTGTCATCTGCATATCTGATGTTGTTGATATTTCTCCCAGCAATCTTAATTCCACCTTTAGATTCATCCCAGATCTGAACAGTTAAATCACTGTAGGGTGGCTGTGCATATTAATAGCATTGCTCTTTTAAGTGTTCAAGGTTATTTTCATTGTTGATTGGCATTGTTGGGTACTTGTATGGTTTTAGAAAACTAGCTTCAGCAACACTGTTAAAGAGGTGGATGGAGCATAGATTGCTTCTTGTAACCTAGAGAAAGGAAATTGACCCCGGCAGGATCCAGGAGAACCCTCAGGATGAACGGCGTTGGCGAGAGAGAGACACATAGGACCGGCCTTGATAGGGCCAAGTCTGCTAGGGAGAGAGAGAGGAAGAAAGAAAGAGACCAGACCAGAAATATGCAGCAGAGTCTGGCAGTTGCTTTATTCTTCACCATAGCCTTTATACCCTAAGTTGGTACATTTCTAAGAGGCAGATAAGCACACAGACTTAGTTTAACGTTATATCAGCTTGTCCTTCACGAAACCAGGTGTGCTCTGTATATTTTTGTTTATGAGAGTCTTTTCTCATAGATTTTTGTACATTATCTGGCCTTGAGGTCAGCAGAAAACAGAAAATTGGCAATCTCATGGTACAGCAAGTTGTAACATAATAGAAATACAATCCTGTTAACATAAAAGACAGTCTTTTTGCAGAAATTCTCAGCTAAATTTATCTAAAAAGTTTAACACACAAAGACTCTGTGGCTCTGGTGAGGCAGCCCCTGTTTAGCACTCCTGGTTAAAATTAACAATTATATTATTGTTATTACACTAGGGCTAAACTCTTATTTTACTATATCTTTAACTATATTAACAATAGTTTCCACTGCACAACCTCAGCACAT